TGCGCGTTCACGGCTCTGGGCCCTGCTGTGGGGGAGGAGCTTAGGAAGGGGAGCTGAGAGCAGTGGGAGGGACTACAAGGTTGTTTCTGTTCAAAATTTTTCTAAGTTTTTGGGTACCCAAGAAACTACATACAGCAGCTTTAAAGGAACAGTTCTGATTTTTGAGTCAGGTGTTGGAAACAAACTGCAGAAGAAATCAACACGTGCATCATCAGATCTGTTCTCGGACCGATTTCCCACCACAATTAAGTGTTAAAAGCTTCTATCAGCTGAAAAGAGCACTGAAGATTAAGAGACTAAACTCCACTTTGGCTAAAGCTGCCGTTTGTTTACCAGCTGTGATGTAAATACTGTGATGTCCTCGAGGATTCTTTGTTCTGCAGCATTTAAACTGAGATCCTGGATGTGTTCAAACACATACACAAAATGCCAAACTAATTTGTTGTGCAACCAAATAAAATTATAAAGAATGATAGAATATATGGAATAAAATGGAAATTCTTCATGTTATTTTGCAGCACACTGTTTCACAAGCTTAGACTTCCAGATGAAATGCAAATAAAAAGAGGTTTCCACTATTAAGCTCTCAGCGTAATGAAAGTTTCTCCTTTCATCCCTGGACAGGATGTGGACAACTCGACTGGACGCTTCGTCGTCAGCAGCCGGGAGAACTACACCGAGCTCCACATCTCCCACCTGGACATTAACCTGGACCCGGGCGTCTACATGTGCAACGCCACCAACCTTCTCGGCAGCTACAGCGAGCGGTCCACGCTGAGGGTCCGCAGCCACTTCGCCCCCCTGTGGCCCCTCCTGGGAGTTCTGATTGAGATCATCATCCTGGTCGTCATCATCGTTGTTTACGAGAAGCGCAAGAAGCCAGAGGATTTACAAGACGGTGAGCCGCCAGTTAAGATGTTCTAGCCTGGTTTGTTGGCGTTCTCGAATTATTTGGGTTAAACTTTAAGAATTAAAAGAACCTTTTTGGATCCAGTGACCATGAAGGTGGACTCTAGAGGAGTCACTTAACGCTGAGCTGTACCTGTGTTCAATAATTTAATCTGGACACGTTGATCCAACAGACGGGCTCTGTTGCAGGAGGTCTCACCTCGTCGAACAGTTTCACTCATTTATTATTCATGAGAAACATGATACTGGAAAGGTGGACCTTTTTCATAATTAATGTCTTTCCAGGAACGTTGTTTCGTAAGCTTTGGCAAACTTAACCAGTAGACTCATTGTTCAGCCGTTCATTAGACCTGTGATTTTAACACTTTGTTTTTGAGAGCCGAGATGTTTCATAAATGATGCATCCGTGATATTTGGACGACCTTTTCCTCTCAAACAGAATTTTAATCTGATCACACGCTGATCAGAAGCAACATGCAGTGAATTACTAACAGCCCAGAGCTGTCAGTTCATGTTCATCAGAACAGCAGCCGAAGAAAACAGCTGTATATTTCACATGTTCACTTTGTATTTACATTCCTGTAAATGATAGTAGTTTTGGTTGTAGAATGGTTTATTAAATTATTGCAATATCTCCAATCCTCCCCCCCCACCCCCCTTTTTTTTGAATGCATATAACCTAAACCATGTTTGTGGTAAGTGTAAGACTTTGCATGCTGCTTGTATTTTTATTTTTGTTTCCAAATGCTCGTTCAGCCTCATTTTCACAGCACAGTTAAATGGTTCTGTTGAGCTGCTTCTATGTACTTCACTTTGGAGTGCAATCGAACATTTTCAGTGTATTTATTTATTTATTTATTTATTTCCGGAAGCGATAGCTCCATAAGCGAGCGTTGCTCTTGTTGTTGCAGCAGCTCGTCTTTGTAATGAAGTGCAGATATTTTGTGATCGTTCCTGCTGTGGTTGTTTCACGTTGCTTCACTGAATGGTTCCAGGAGATACTGGTGGAGCTGCTTCTGACTAATCGCTGAGTCAGCGTACCCTCTCTGCGAGCGCTGCTTGTCTATGCATGATGATTTTTTAAATATATTTTTTTGAGATCTTGACTGTATGGTGGTGGTGTTCTCACCTGCTGATGCTTTTTGAGGTTTGGTGTTAACTGTCTGAGTCATCTCATAAGGGTTTTTTTTTTGTTTTTCTTTTACTGCAGCATGTAATTCAGGCTGTATTTATGTAGACATGTTATGGATGAAGCATAGAATTTAATAAAATCCAAATATCATTAATGTTGCAAATTTCAAACATTCATCATCATCCTTGTTGCTATTTGTCATTTTTCTAATTTCTCCATACGTTTTCTTACTGCCTCAGATGATGACCTAGCTGGACCAGTGTAAGTACAAACATTTAACCTATGCTGCTTTTTTCTCTGTCAATGAAGTCTGTTTTTGGAGATTATCACAAACCTACGCCTCAGAGCTCACAGAAGAGGTCCTCAAATCTAATTCAGACAGTGTTAAACATCATGGAGCATTTTTAAATGTCAAATCACAGTAAGAGGTTGAGATAAACCATGTTGGTTGTAAATGATGAGTTTTCACGATCAAAACTGTTTAAAACGTTTGAGGTAGACCCTAATCTGCTAACGTGTGTATGAAAACAATAATGTTAATATAAACCAGTTATAGCTGAGCTCAAAATATTCTAAAATATTCTGCTCAGCAGTTGTGTCTAAAGTAAATAATCAAACGTCTCTATTAGTGCTCAGAGTATGTGTTGGGAATAACTCACAGCTACTACCACTCCAGATTTTAGCACAATCTCTGCAAATATGACTCATGATTCATTGTTTTTTAAAGGTGATGGTTCAAATGTTTTGAAGTTGGGTTCTGTGGAAAGGTTCTGGGGTCGGATTTATAAAACTTGCGTACGCACAATTTGAGCCCAGAAACTTGCGTACGCCACTTTTTACGACAAGGTTGTGATTTATAAAATCCAAACTTGATGTGAAAATGTGCGGTGCCTCACGCCAGCTCTGACCCATGTGTACGCTCATTTTGGAGACGGGAAACTGCGACACAGATGGTGAAGTGAAGAATTAGAGCCACACTGTGTAAAGATCACTGTCAGATATTTAATTTACCTTCAGAATCAGACTTAAGATTTTTATTCAGCTTTATCATCAGCTTTCTTAACAGTAATATTTATGCTTCTGCTGCTGAGCCAGAAGGACCTTTTGAAATAAAAAATCTTAAATCATAAATAAAAGTTCTCGCATTTCATTAATTTCTTTCCTCCTCACGACCCTGACCCACAGACCCCTCCCTGACAAGAAACATTTCAACAGCACGACAGCAAAAGTCACGCTTTTGGGTACTCAGGGCGCGCCCACCCTCACCAGTGTGGATGTTATAAAAAGTTCACTTTTTAAAAACCGCATTTGCCGTGCGTGCGTGTGTGTGTGTGTGTGTGTGTGTGTGTGGGTCTGCCGCAGATAACAGAGCAGAGAGGGGGAGGACGGGGGAGAAGAGCGGTGAACTTAACTTTATCTGACTTATTTTATTGTATTGTTTTAATCGTCCTGCAGGCTCTGAGAGAAAATTAATTTGAAGCTAAGTTTTTGAAATAAATTATTAGATTGCTCTAAACATCTGTAAACCTGCAAAATGAGGGAAAATCTGTGTCAATTACAGACATTCTGTTCAGGTGAGCAGCTGTCAGTCAGCACCTGTCATCCTCCAGACGTACGATGGAGCGTGTCTGAACCAATCACTTTTGTTGGCGTTGATCAGCTGACTGATTTAAATACATCTTAACATTCATGAGGAACTTTACATTGACTGTTTATGGTTGAATGTGGGCGTGTAGAGGGCAGAACCTGAGGTGAGACCTTGTGTGCAAATTATGAGGCAAAGCTGTGATCTATAAAGGGAAAATGCGGTGAAACACATGTACGCACGTTTTTATAAATCTGAAATTTTTTTTTGGCGTACGCCTTTTTCGTCTTTTGGCCGTACGTTCATTTTTAGTATGGTTTCCACACAATCCTTTATAAATCTGACCCCTGAACAGTGAGAGTTTGGAGGGAAAAAAATACCAGCTAATCTGAGCTGAGCCACACTGGACTGCTACAGTCCTAAAGCAATTCAACCCCACAAATACTGATGAGAAAAAAAGGGTAATGTGCAGATAATTCTATAAACATGACTGCACTTGTGGTGCGCTTCCAGCTGGAATATCAAAGTTCTGCCAGAAGAACATCTTGTAATATGAGTGGACCCACTTCCAAAACAAATCTAAGACTTTAGAAGATTTAAACAAATAAAACACTTTATAAATCTACATTATTATGAGCAGCCGTCAAACTTTAAAGACTTCAGTTGCTTGAAGACGAATCCACTTAACTAGCTGTTAGCTCATTAATCTGGTCAGATTTAATCTTATTACTTCACAGTGAGGTCAAAAGTCTTATCTGCAACAGGTAAGATAGTAGCTGTTTTCAGTCTCTCCTCAAAGACCTTCTGTTGAACTGTAGGTTAGTAATACATTATGGCACGTTTCTAAAACTGGATGCTCCCAAAAGCAAAAAAAAACAACAACAAAAAACAACAACAAACAAACAAAACAAAAAAATAAATAAAAAAACTTGTCTTATTCACTAAAATAAGGGTTTCCTTGTTTTCAAATGACAACAAAGGTCTGTAATTTCTACAAAAGTGTGGAAACAAGTTCTCCTACAACTTCAACAGGTCTAAATGTTGACAAAGTGGAGCTGCTCAGTGTGGCCTTAAATTCTGAGAGACCTTTTGTCGAATAAAAAAAATACAGAATTGTTGACACAGAAGTTAATGGATTTGAAATGACTGGCCCAGGAACATTTAAATTAATAAAAATTACTAACTTTCAAAGAAGAAAAGAAAAGGACAAAACTCCTGGGGTATTTAAAGTATTTAACTGCTTGAAGTGTTGCTGTATTAAATCAAGTGTTGATGTATTTAAAATTCTATTTTCAGATTCCACAATCTTATTACTTTTTAGTAAATTTTACATATTTATACAGATTATTCATGCATTTTTCTCAGATTTATAGATGGCTAAAGTGAGCAGTGTACAGTAAATAAATGATCCCCAGCTTGTGCAGTTTAGTGTTGAAGAATAAACCGACTGATTTACAGCTGGTTTGTGTATGAAGCGCTCCGCACACATTCTGCCCCGAGCTTTAAATTTCTCGATGAGGTTTGCCTAAAACTGATCCGTTTCTATAATTTACCGTTTGAAAACTGATCGGGTCTTCTGCTTCCCGTTTAAGGAAAACTAATTCAACCAACAACCACAAAGACAAGAATCTCCGCCAGAGGAATACGAACTGAGGAGCCCGTCTGATGAGTGAGTATTCACTTACACAGACCAGTCTCTAAAATTACAAGCAAAAGATCGAGTTCATAATCTGAATATTTTCTTCTATTTGCAGCTCATTAATTATGTATTGACCATATGAAGGTAAACAAGAAAAGGACTCCACACCAATCATTATTAGGATGCATCTGCCATTAAAAATAAGATTGTGGGTGACTTATAGGAGGCATGTCCTGCAGTTTATATTGTGGTGAGGGTGTTTGGCACAAAGGTACTCCATTACAGAGTTGACATTATGAACATTGTTGCTGCATGCAGTTGTTAACGTTTTAGGCTCTCTCTCTTTCTTTTTTTTGTCCACTAATTATATATTTTTACTTATAAAATAATGCATGCAAATGTTCTGTTTGATACAAATTTTTTCCCCTCTAACACTGAGGGTGGCTTCATGTAGAAAATCTGTACTGTGAAAAACAAACATTCAGTAATGTAAAAGAAAAAAAGATTATAAACCCATATGGCAGATGTGTACAGTTTTATCATTCCTCTGCATATCCTTTAATCATTTTATCAGACTATATATACACATATATATTTATCTATATGACATTTTAAGGGCTTTGCAGTGTCCCTCTAAAATTAAGATATGTCATGTATGTATGTAATAAATCACATGTACCAGATTCCCCCAAAAATATTAAGATTATTCATTTATGACGCACATCAAGTGTTGATAAAAAATGGGGGGAAACGTATAAATCTACTTTAAGAAGTCTGAACTAATCATTCAAATATGTTATTTTCTAATTGTGTAATTGTACAGCATGGCTATTATCCTATGCAATTATTATCCATGTCAATATACTGAAAATCATTCCAGCTTCTGAATATATATATTTTTTTCTGTGACAAAGCTTTAAACTAGTAGGATCACCTTAGAGCCTCACAGCTGCATGAGAAACAGCTGGCGTATGGTGGGGGGGAGACATGAAGTGGTTGGAGGAAATGGGTGGGGGGGAGGCCACGTCAGAGCTGACACACGTCAAACTCCAAGATCTCAATCATTTTTAAAGAATAAATATCTACAGAAAAAAACTGTCTGTTCTGTCGGTTCTTTCACAGGAGGTGCAGGTAATCTGAAACACGGTGAACAGCGCCACCTAGTGAGATTATGAGCGAGTCAAAAAAAACAACCCTGGTTTATTTTGGATTTTCACTGATGAAGTTAGGAAGCAGAGAAGTGTAAAATGCTCAAACTGCATATTTTAAATATGGACAAACGTTTGATATTTTGCTAAAATTAAACAGATTATTAGCTATAATAGGAGGAAGAAACAGGAACGATCACACTGGTTAGGATTATTGACAAAAAGTAAAAAAATCTCATCCAGTTATGACAATTTACCAAATTTGAGTTTTTAAGAAATTAGATGTTTAGAAATAGTTTTAAGATACCATAGAGAATTGAACTACATTCACTTTAAGGCTTTATATATTTGGCATTTTGAGAAGTACTTTGATATTTAATAAATGCAGTATATTTTGAAGTAATTTATATAGTTTTACAGTAACTTCTAAACAATTAAAATTTACTTGTTTGGTCTTTGACATTAAATCAGACTGAACTGAACACTGGATTGTGTATCGTTGGATACAAATCTTATACTTACAGTTTGACTACAGATGGAATATAATTTAATATAATCTTTTAAAGAGGACACATCTATGGGATAAATTTTGTGCCAGCAGGAATTGAATTTGAATTGCTCAGATTGAATCTGTATGAATACCCCAGATCTACATTTTGTTGTGTTCTTGGACTCTATGAGTTCAGAAAAATTGAATTTGGTCTCAGTGCTGCGCAGACATCTTTATATTCAGTTTAGGTATTTTTTGCAAGTTTTTGTTTTGGCTGCACTCTTCTGCAGGGGTCGTCACAGTGCACAAACTCCCAATAACAGATTTGATCATTGATTTATGCCTGATGTCCTGTTCTGATCAAACCTGAATTCGAACCTGGAGCCTCAGGTTTACAAGACGGCAGCACGGACCACTAAACCATCGTGTCCTCTTAAAATAGCATTACAAGTTATTATATTTAAGCCAGTATGTGATGTGCACAAAATGTTTGAAACGAACTGCATATTGTCTCCTTCTTTCCAGCAGTGGGCAGCACAGAGCACGCATGATGTCCTGGAATTGCAGCACTGTGTGTGTGTGTGTGTGTGTGTGTGTGTTTCTACTTGTTTCTGCTACAGAGAACCATGTTAGGTTTTTAACTAATTAAGTGAAGACATTTTCCTGGTCTCCACTTTTTTTTGCAGCTCTACTGTGCTCTATAGCAGGGGTGCCCAAACATTTTCCCTGAAAGGGCCAAAATAAAAATCAATCTGAGGGTGGTGGGCCAAATTCAATAATATAATACACGAAATGCAAATACTTCAAAAAAAGTTGTATTTTTTTATGATTAAGCTAGCAGCCAGTGCGGTTGCCCACTTATTTTGTTTGTGTTTTTTTTTCAGCCCATGGACATGGAGAAAATTCAATGTTTTCTCGGGCAGCAAAGGCTCGTGAAACTTTTCATAATTTAAAATTTGAGTATATGTGGTCTTATAAGGTGTGCAAATCTAGATGTGCACTTAGATCTAATATAAATGTCTGTTGAAGTTACTTGTATTTTATTTTTAATCTTAACATTATTCAAAGATAAAGTGAGCACCACGAGTTACAACTATCTGCATGACAGCTCCTTGTACCTATAGTTGGACCAGTGGTTGAAAAGACTAAGTGTAAATATAGTATTTCTACATAAGACAGGAGATTACAATCTGGTAACCAGGATAACTGTTAGTGGGCCAAATCAAATGGCTTGGCGGGTCAAATTTGGCCCACGGGCCCCACTTTGGGCACCTCTGCTCTATAGGTTTAGAGGTGTGGTGTGAATGAAGTTTTGGTTCAGGTTAGTGTAGGTATAGACTAGTAATGGTTAGTGTTAGGGAAAATATCTGGGTTTGGCGTAAATGCAGATGTAAAATGAATGGAAGTCAATACAATGTCCTCAGTTTGATGTCTGTGTGTTTGAGTTTGTGAGGAGTTGCTCTACCAGGCCTGAAATTTTAAATACTGATGGGTAATTGTAAAGTGTTTTATTTAAAATTTTTCCTATGAGCTGTCAACATCTAGTCACCAGTATATTACAGTATGAGGTCATGGATTGGTCATCAAGACTCAAGCAGTCAGTTTCCAGAGGAAAGAGACATCTGTGATTTTGTGAACGCTTTAAACAATCAAACAGCTGGAAGAAAGGAACACAACGCCTGACAGAAATGAGTCGTCCCTGTGAGGATTAACCTCTGAAATGTCAGGTAAAGTTCAAAATTAATCTGATGCACTGGTTCCTGAACCGTGGACCATTTTAAAAAACAAATCTAGTTGCTTTTTCGAACTGCATTAAGATATTTGTGGTAATTTAAAGATTTACGCTGAAATCCTGTCATCAAAACAGAACAGGTTTACAAAGAGGTTTCCAAAAACTCAATCTTCTTCAGTACAGAATATTATGACAGGTGTGTTGATGACAAACAGATGTGTATAGAGCTGGAAAATGCACTTATCATGATCTGTATTTACTGTTTTGTTTTGATTTCATTATCTGTGTCAGCTCTGCTCCTCAGTCCTTTTCAAAGATGTTTCCTATAGCCGCTAGTTTGTTCCACTTTTTTATAACCTTTCTGGTTATTATTATTATTGTTATTGTTATTATTATTACAGTTGTTTAACCAGGCCATTGAGATCACAAATCTCTTTTCCCACCTATTGTACATGTTTTTGGGGGTGTGGGGGAAACCCAGAGACCCCAGGTCTGAAGTGGGAATCGAACCCAGGACCTTCTTGCTGTGAG